CCGACACGTACGGGTCCCACGTCCGGCTCAGGAACGCTCCCAGGAACTCGTCCTCTCGAGCGGCGCACTGCTTCGTCTGCCTTCGTGGCCTCCACGCTCGAGCTCGCTTTCGCACGTTCCTTCTTCTTATCCTCTTCTTTTTCATTTCTTGTTATCGCCTTCGTGCCACCTGCCCTCCGCTCGTCTTCTTCAGTTTCGGTTTGGCGTCCCTCGGCGCTTTTAAGTCCTTTTAGCCACAAATCGTACCTAAACACAGCACTTTTGAGTCCTTTCCTAACACCAGGCATTCCGTGTCTGCTTCAGCCCTACAGAACATACGCAAGAACTGCAGAGGGTCCAAAGGGACCTGTTAATGAACGGTTACCCAATCCAACTTCTCAGGACTTGGGAGCGTAATGCAGCTAAGCCCCGTAGTGAAATGGCCCAAGAAAAAGAAAGGGCGAAGCGTGCAGCCACTCCTTACACAGCGGGAACAAGCGAGGCGTTGGCAAGAATTTTTAAAGGCTATGGTGTTAAAATAGCCCACGTGCTTACTGGAAAACGCTGACAACAGCTTTTTCAGCAAAAGATCCTCTGAAGCGCACGGATCTCCTGGGAGTTATCTACAGGATACCATGTGGGGGATGTACATTGGCACGAATGGGAATTTGAAACGACGTTTGAAACAACACCGAAATGACGTCGCCAAGGGCCACACAACTGCAAATGCCTTGGCGGAACACCACAATGAAACTGGCCACAGTATTGACTGGGACGCCGCAGAAATGATCACAACAGCAAGACATTTATCTGCCCGTCTTCCTTTAGAATTATTTTACATTCACTCGACTAACCGCACGATAGACAGGACAAACGGCAATCTAAGAGAGATACAATAAAACTTCGTTAATTTGAACTCAGTTATATCAAAACACCACTTAATTAAAGTTAAAGTTAGAGTGGATAATTTAAAGGAGAGGCCGGCACCAGTCCAATTAATTAAAAAACTGTGGTTGACATGTGCCAGTTCCACAACCAGATTTCGCCACAAATCTGCAGAAACAACGGCATTAATTGCCACAAAGCAATGCAACGTAAAAGAGTGGCTACTTGGGCTGGTTGGTATTGCATTTTTGAAAGAAATATACTTGCTTAGTGCGCAGGGAATGTTTTCAGAAGGAAGATAGAGCCGAGAGATAGGACAAACCAATTTTATTGCACAGATGGCGGGAATATATCTACAGTCGAGCCCGCTTATAACAAACCTGAGTGTGACGCGGCATCCGTTCGCTGTATCCCGAAGTTCGTAGTAAATAAAACACAGCTTTTAAAAACAGTTGCGAGTGAAAACACAAGCTTTTTTTGCCCCAAAAAGTCCATGATGCACGTGTTTCGAAGAGCAGAAGCGATAAGGGCGGTCTTGAGTTCATTTAAAACGGCAGGCTGCTCGTTCTCCGAGGCCCGTGGCATAAGCTGCATGAGGCGCTGGCTCCAAAGCTTCGTCGTTCTCGCAATCCGATTCCTCCAAATCGCTCTCGCCACGTACTTCATTCACAATACCCCAATCCGTGCACAATTCCGCAGTGTCGGCATCATCATCGGCCGTCATTAAATAATCGCAACAGATGTCTCACCCGCTTTCTCAGATCCGACTCGACGACGCGCTGCCACAAATCGCCGCCGCAGTGGTCCTGTTCGGAAGCTTCAGGCTCGGCATCGGGCCTGATGATCGACGAAGTCGGCCTGGCGAAAATAGTTTCGCACACATGTAGCTGTCAACGCCGCCCACGAAATATTCACCATCTCCACAGCTGAATACCGGGAGACCCGAAGCGGCAAGTTGGCTGCCAGGTGGTCAACAGCTATGAGCAATCGCTCCGCAACGCGGCACCTAACGCGGCACCTAACGCGCAGATTATGCTCAAGCCAAGTGGTCACACTTTCGATGTTTTGTTGAGCGGCACGAAAAAGCGTGCTAGTCCTCTCGTCGGCCATCATGACCACACACGCACACCAAGATTGAGCAAGACGCGCACACGCGACGCACATGCCAGAACGCATGGAACAGCTCTGGGCGCGTTTCCAGTCAAAAAACGAAACTAATTTGAGCCAGCGTGGCAGGCGTTGCGAAGCGGTGGAGATGGCCGAAGGGTGCGATTTCGTGCCATTGAACCAATGTATATTTTCACGGTCACACGGATATTGTTCGTTTTAAGCGAAAGTTCGTTTTAAGTGGGGCCGTTATATGTGGGCTCAACTGTACATTCAAGAGGGCGAGGAGATCATACACAGATAAAGGGACGAATAATGGCGCATGCGCCAGACCACCTTATTCCAACCTTGAAATGACAACCTGAGAAGATACTCGTATTCATTATCAGACAGATTGACGGATGGGCACTTACACAATCAGTTCCCGATTTGCGAATCAAAAAGCTTAATTCATTTCATGTGCCCTCTTGTCCTTATACCTTGCCATTACTTGGCATTCATCAAACTTCGGTGTGCACCCACAATTCGCACAGTGACTTGCCAAGTGGCTGCCCACTGATCCGCGCATCAGATTTGCTTGCTCCCTAAGGCGATCATTCAGACAGCGCCCCGTCTGACCGATGTAGTATCGACCACATGATAAAAAAATCAGATGCACAAATGCCTATAATACATTCTACAAACACCTTTGCATGCTTTGTATTGCACCCGACATTTAAAGATCCTTCGTAGTTTACTCTTTTACATTCTTGTCTGCCATTCTTATGTGCACAAAATTTCACACTGCTTAAATAGAATCGTCGCGAAAACTGGTTGTCTTCACGGCAAAAAACAAGTGTCGCCGCAATAAGAATTTCAGAGTGTTAAAGAATAAGTGTTAGTGAAGAATGCATCAATGAAACGTAAATATTTGCCACTTGAAATTCCTTGTCCATTCCATGTTTGGGCACTACCCTTAGGGGCCAGGTAGGTGTGATTTCTCCTGAGGTTCCGGCCGGGCCTGGGTCATGCTTTGAGGGACCAGGCCAAGTTCAGTTGGGTAATATTGAGCGAGTTACTGGCCAGGCCCAAGCTGAGAATCACAGCTCCTGCAGTACAGAGTTACCAACGAAAAACCCTACTGCGACGTGAGCTCCTCTTCCAAAAGACAGAGTTCCCCACTCAAAACCGTTTCAAGTCAGCGGCGTCGACTTAGCTGGACCTGTGTTTGTAAAATGAAATTGCACTGTGAAAGCCTACGTTGTCGTATTCACGTGTGCAGTAGTGAGAGCCGTTCATTTAGAGTTATGTAGTGATATGACTGTTCATTCATTTCTTCTGGCTTTTCGACGTTTTGTCATGCGGCGGGGCATACGAAGTGTCATATATTCTGATAACGCTCTAACATTTAGAGCAGCTAGTAGGGAATCGAAGTGCACCTACGAGATTTTACGAGATGTTCAGGTCCAGAACTTTTGCGCGACCAGCTACATCGTGTGGAAATTTATTGCTGAACATGCTTCATGATGGGAAGGATTCTGGGAAAAGATTGATTGATTGATTGATTAGTGGGGTTTAACGTCCCAAAACCACCATATGATTATGAGAGACGCCGTAGTGGAGGGCTCCGGAAATTTTGACCACCTGGGGTTCTTTAACGTGCACCCAAATCTGAGCACACGGGCCTCGACATTTCCGCCTCCATCGGAAATGCAGCCGCCGCAGCCGGGATTTGAACCCGCGACCTGCGGGTCAGCAGCCGAGTACCTTAGCCACTAGACCACCGTGGCGGGGCGATTCTGGGAAAAGATGATACAAACGGTTAAAGGCTGCCTCTGAAGATCATTAGGGAAGGGCAGCTTCAACTTTGGGCAACTGAGTACAGTTTAGCAGAAGTCGAGGCAGTGGTCAATTTTATACCATTAACATACGTCTCTGCTGAAGCGAAAGAACCTAAACTCTAACACATGCTCATTCGATAGCTCTTCGACGACTAACTAGCCTCCTTCACCATGAAGGTTCGATAACGGCCATGAAAAACACAGATACACTGCGCCTGTGGAGAGAACGTCAGCGATGGCTAACCACTTTCTGGAACCACTGGTACAAAGAATACCTACTACCTCTCAGAAGCACTCACTTCAGAAAAGACAAAAAAGAAAAATTTAATTAGGTGTTGATGACAATGTATTGATATGCGATGACAAAGTGCCTATAACATTCTGAAAAATGGGAAGGATTTGTAAGTATACAAGAATACAGATGGACACGTTAGGGCATGCAGAATCAGATTAACAAACAACACTGAGATTACGAGGCCGATACAACTCCTGTCTCCCCTGGAATTATGCAAGTGAAATTGTCGGCGGCGGAGGATGTAGAAAATTGCGGAAGAAGCAAAGAAGAACAAGTATCGGAGCAAAGACTGTTGGGACACTTGGATTGTTGGAAGGCACGCCATGTTTGGACGGCGTAGCGCGCAGCACCAATAAAGGCTACAGAGAGGTTCTTCACAGATGATGTCAAACATTTACATAATAATTGTGAACAGAGGACAACAAAACTAGGCCTATAATTTTTCAGCACACTTGTCACAATGACGTCGTTGCAGGTATTGTACGAATTGAGGCACCTTGAAGAGACGAAGAGCTGTTACATACCAACAGCAAACGAAATGCACTGATGAAACAGTGAGTGAACGAAAAACATCAGCAAGGTTTAGTCTTAATGAATGCTTTCAAAACTGATGATTCCTCCTGAGCCGTCATTGTGAGAGGTTCAATGTGCCCCCCCCCCCCCCTCATTTTCAGTGTTTCGACTAAAATTGTGCCTGAAGTAATGCAAATTTTTTTAAAAATGAAAAATTGTGAATCACCCAGTTTAGCTAATCATTAGACGTTTTTTTAATGGTTCTTAATCAGTAAGATGAAACTTGGCCAGCTGTTTTCATCATACCAAGCTTGAAGAACAGGAACCATATCACTTAGCAGTAAGAAACACTTCCAGAAAGCCTAGGGAAACTTAAGTCGATCCTTGATTAGTTTACTCACATCTGTGTCATCCAGGCAGGTTGCCAAAGCAGCAGCCAAGCCCTTGGGTGAGGGCAGTGGTACGTAGCCCTCTATGTGCTTTGCTCGCAACTCGCATGTTGGGAATCGCCTGTTGATGAAGCATAAAAGAAGCGTCAACGTCAGTAGAGGCTTTGCTCATAAATGCACAATGCGGTCTCCACACTAAAATAAATTCTGATTACTACTGAAGTTATGCAGTTGGCTAGTATTCCCTTACATCATTAGTGTTGCTGTCATGCTCTGACAACAAAGCAGCCATAAATTGCTAAACTTAAAGTGGGCAACGCAGAAATCAGGTTTCACACATGTACCACTTTACCAGAGGTGCGTCATTCAGTAATATACACACCTTTTTAAAGAACCCCTTATATCTTATGCACAAAACAGACCATCTGTGATGTAAAGCTGTTATTAAGTGAGTAACAAATATTGTGATTTTGGGGACAAAAAAGACAAACGCATGAGAGCCGATGAAACAAAGGTTTGCATCTTTAGTGCAAGAAACACTATGTTATGATCAACTCGCCCAACAAGTTCTTATTGAAGAACTAGTTGGTTCCTGCAGTTTGTGGTGAAGCAGTGCAGACAGTGGGGCATACAAAACACAGCGCTGTGTCTTGTAAGGTTATTTCTCCCGTTGCCTGTGCAGTTATGCAAAAATGTCTGTGGCAATATCAGGCAACAAAAGTGTAAAACTTTAAGCAACGAAATATGGGTGCTAGCTTGAATTGCTTTAATTAAACTTTTCATGTTGCCTAACGCAGACAAACGATACAATTTTACCCTCACTAAAATGGCACAATTTCCTGCATCGTTACAGACAATTAGGGGTGTGCGAATATTCTAAAGTTTCAAACCTTCAGCGAATATTGCATTTGTAATATTCGTATTGGATTTGATAACCACATATAGAAAATTTTATATATTCCAACTAACTCGAATATTCCTCAAATATTTGATGTTCACGAATATTTGTTCGCAGGTTTGTGCAATTGTTCTAGTGCTTCGAATATTCAAACAAATATTACGGTATTGAATTTAGTTCAGTTCAAACTTAAATTATTGAAAATTTCGAAGTATTCACAAGGAAAGAATAAATACATGATACTTTGAATGTACTGCCTGTAAAGGCAGTTTTACTGTAGTAGGAATGCTAAACCATGACAGCACCTATCCGAAAAAAAATATGCTCTGCCGCGAAGCCTTCCTTCAAGCTTAAAAGGGCCCCGCAATACTTTTTCAGAAAAATTGTCACAAAACACTGTCGATCGGTAGTCCAGGCTACCCAAGACATGCAAGTCAAATATTATAGCACAGCACGTGGCGTGCAATTCACAAAATATTCTCAGTCAGCTAAAAATAACACTTTTCTCTCGGCTAATTACTCCACAAGCTCAGAAAGCACGAGTGACGCATTTTCTTTCCTCGTGCCAATTTCCCTGCTTAGCTTCCAGTGCTTTCGTCGGGATGAGAAGAGAGAATGCACTAGCAGCGTGCGAGAAATCTTTGCAACTCCGCGCGTACTGGACCAATTCTAAAAATATTTGCGGCGGTGAATTCATGAGGCAATAAATAAGCTTCTTTAATGAATCCATTTTATGGCTACTTAAAAAAGCGTCACATGGCCCCTTTAAGTGAAAATATTACTCTTAAATCAATTCATTTTATTATGCTTAAAAGCCAGTTATGATGACTTATATGCTCTAACTATAATAAATATTGAAATGTTACGTATTTTAAGGGTTATGACTCTCATCCTGCTGAAAATAGAATCTTAGACTTATTTTGAATGCAAAAAAAAAGGGGGAATTCACAAAGAGGTCCTATTTCATTAAAAATATTGTATAGGTTAGTTAGGTCATGATAAATATGCCCATTTTTCATTATGTCATATATACTACTTGAATTCGAAAAGAAATTATTTGACCAAAATCAGAATTCACTTCGAACCTAGAATAAGCATAAGCTTATTCGTTCGCATATGTCGCTGTGAAGACCTTACGATTTCGCACATTTGTAATAAGAGCCTTAGTAGATCATTGATTACTATGACTTCGGCGCAAGTGCGATGATGCCTGCATGGAGAGTCATGGAAGCGTGATGGCGGCTTCCAACAAATGCGGCAGCAAGTCATCACGACAAAGCTACCAATGATAAATATCTCAATCCATCTAAATCATGTACTGCCTGCACGGCAGTACATGTGGCAAGGCCGTTTAAGCACTTTTACGGTTTAGCGCTGTTACGGTTCACGTCCGCGTACCGACCACGCTGTCCGCTGCCGCGCTCCTGTGTGCAGGACAGCAAGTGTGTATCGCTTGTGGAAACTAAGGCAACTTGCCGCCACTGCATTGGCTAGACAAAATGGTCTTCATACCTTTGCTCGGTCCCGTTCTGAGCGAGCACGAAGAAACAATATCTCTACGCAAGGGCAAATGCACGCGTATACATTACAAAGCCCTGCTCTGATACAGTGAGCTTAGTAAGCGATGCACTGTACACAACTTGCTAGAGGCGCGCTCAGCTTGACGTACAATAGTAACGCGTTTCATGTATAGCCATGCCAGTTTTCACTAATGGATCACTGTAGAAACCTACGCACACATGTTGAAGCCTGACGAGCCGTCCGTCAGTTGTGTCGCTACTTCAGCATGTATGCCCTCTTCATTGTTCCAAAACAATTGCATCGTGAGGGATATGGTCATACGAATGATGTTCCGCACAATGGCAAACATAGAAATTTGGTATAGTTACAATGATGTGATCACATATAGTTTTCCGCTGGTAACCGTGACGCACGTAAGGTGATAGACGAGTTACTGTGTAGTTCCGCTGCGTTCCCAAAAGCGCCTTTGAAAATACGTCGTACGCACATCACACTCGTGCGACATCTCCTGCAATCAAGCCTTGCTTACACCGTTGCTTTGATTTTGCTCTTTTGCCAACGTCAAGTTACTGCCGTCTGTAGCCAATGCATCGAAAGGGGTCGCGATACAGCAAAATAGTGCCCTCGCTGCCGGGAGTTGTGGCTTTGTCAACAAAAAGGCGTATTTGGGGCATCTTTCTATTAGACATCAGTAATAATCTATCTTGCACGTTTATCTCGCGTTATGACTGCGCGCGCAGTACACCTCGGTCACGACCGTGCAGCTATCAGTGCTACACAGCATTCTTGATCGGAAAATGGCGAGAAAATTAAAAAGAAAACTCTTTAATTGGAGTCTTTCGAGTCATTACTGATAGTGTGGGAACCTGGATGAACTGCGACCATCTAGGCTGCTTTAATAATCACTCAGATTTAAATACACTGGTGTTAACTATTAACACAATCATACCAGTGGCCTCAATGTCACTAGCCATCATGGCAGGTACGAAAGCTTTTCTTTTTGTTTTGTAGCAAAGTCCTACAACATAAAAAAAGATACCAAAGGTTTGTTCAACATGTGGACTAAACCCCAGACTTCCCAGTCACAAGCTCAACTATTACAGTCTTAAGCTTTCTGGAAAGTACAGATGGTGATATTTTTTCATTTTTGTGCGTAACAGCTGACTATAACAACAATTGTACTGTTTTCAGCCTAAATATATTGCCACCTACTTCTAGTAGTGGGTCGTATGCCAAGGTGAAGGCACACACCACAGAGAAGAACGAAGTGTGCGTGGGCCCTGCTCCGGCAAACACGCCCAACCGACGCGCACTTGGTTAGAGCCCCGTTGCTCAGATGTCATTAAACCTTGTCGACACCCCCTGGAGCGACGTGACAATTGGTGGAGGTACTGAGTAGCCCCTCACGGATGTTTCAGACCCCTCCTGGAAGCGGCACCACAAGCCCAGTGCGAGTCAACACCGTTCATCGGACAAGCCGCAGGATCAGGGGATTACCACTTGAAGCAGACCCTACAGTTCACACCAGTATGATAAGCACGTCCGTTCAAACCACTTTAACAGGTATGGAAAACCCGCCGGTTACTCGGTACACCCTCGAAAGTCCACAGGTTCCGACACCGTTTCATGGCACCGAGCTCGAAGACGTCGAGGACTGGTTGGTCGACTTCGAGCGCGTGGCTGCTTTGAACGACTGGAACGACGCGGCCAAACTACGGCGTGTGTACTTCTATTTGGAGGATGGAGCACGTACCTGGTATATGAATCACGAGGAGCAGATGACATCGTGGCCCGAATTCCGCCGCCGGCTGTTGGATACTTACAGAAGTGCTGATCGCCACGAACGAGCGATCCAGGCCCGCATCCAGATGCCAAATGAAACTGTCATGACCTATGTGGAAGATATGACGCGCCTGTTCCGAAGGGCTGATCCGAGTATGACAGAAGAAAAGAAGTTGCGTCAACTGATGCGGGGAGTTAAGGAGCAGCTTTTCGCTGGCCTTGTACGGAGCCCTCTGAATACGGTCACCGAGTTTTTGTCCGAAGCCGTCACGATGGAAAAGATGCTTCAGCATGGATCCACCCTGTATGAGCGGCAAGTGAACACGTCCACTGCTCAAGTTCTCACTACTATTGGGAGCAACACCGAGTGTCTGCGCGACCTTTTCCGCTCTATAGTAGGCGAGGAGCTGCAAAAGGCTGCCACACCACCACTACCTACGGTGAGCATTGTCAAGGACGAGCTGCATCATGCCCTTTGTGACCCTGTGAGTCTGGATAACGCCACACCCGCCCCGGCTGACTACCACCGTGCGAACTATGCGGAAGCCTTGAAGCGCCCAGCTTCCTCTTCCCCGCTGTTTGTTCAGGCACCTCCTACGGTTTCACTTCAGTCCGCGCAGCCTTTACGGTACTAAGAGAACACACGCACGCCCCCACCCCTTGTTTACGCCAGCCCTGTGCATCTTGCGGAACAACCAGCACACTACCTTGACGACAGATGCGCTTCGCCTCGGAAATCTGATGTTTGGCGGACTCCTGATCGCCAACCTTTGTGCTTCCACTGCGGTGAAGCGGACCATTTGTACCGCCAGTGTCCATACCGGCGCCTCGGGCTTCGCGGCTTTTCAGTATATCCAGCGCCTCCTCGGTATGGCCAGCGACCCCGGGACATTGAGGACTACCTGACTGAACAGCGCATG